CCAGTTTGCTCACAAGAGGTGGGGCAGAACCGCCATCAGAATCAAAGAACTCGAGCCAGGGCAGCGAGTGAGCGGCCACCTAGGGCAAGGCTCTGTTTTGTCTTGAAACCAGAGAGGACACGCGTTTATCCACATTCATTCAATAAGCAGCAGTGTGCCAGATGACTCTGGACAGTCCCAACTGCCGGGTGAGTCAAACATACCCCGCCATCAGTCAGCGGTGGCCGCGGGTTCCTGAGTCGGCCCTGGGCGGCGCGAGCAGGAAGGAGGGCCAAATGCAGCAGAGCACTCGCACAGGCTTCCCCAGAGCATGGCAGCCCTGCTGAGCCCGAGGCACTGACAACCCAAGAGCCCGTGCTGTGCTCGGGCGGGCACCATCAGGTCAATGCGGGGCCAACAAAACTGATGAAAACCTGCCCACTTTGTCTTCCTACCCAATCCGAGAGGCCTTCAGAGAGTTTGGGGATGAACGGGTTAAAAGATAAAGGGACACCCCCCCCCACACACACACACACACTTTGTGAAGCCTCCTCCTTCAGTATGCAGCAGTGTGCAGTGGCAGCAGTGTTTGTGTGCATCTGAAGCACCTCTGAAAAATGCACCTATCGAACCCCAGTGTGCAGTGTGGCAGCTAAAGAAACCCATCTCCTCCTCGATGCTGAAGGGTGGAACCCGCCATTCTACCACTTGTGCATTTCCCTACTGCGTGTGCCTCCCTTCACTCTTCCTTGTCTGCGAACGCTGCCCGAGGGAACGGGTGTAAACTGGCCACCAAGAGGCTGCGGAGCAACATGAGCAGAACAAACCAATTTTAACTGCAAGATGGGTCAGACTGTCTCCGGAGAGAAGATACAGTGGTTAAAGCGCTTGTGCGGTGGGTGGCGCGGAGGAGTGACGGCAGAGAAAAGAGGGCTGGAGGAGGAGAGACGGGCCCTGTCTCTACTCCTCGGTCCCGGTCCCGGGCGGCCTTGGCCAGCCTCAAAGGCTTGCTGTCTCCACAGCACCCACACGGGCAGCAGCGTCCCCCACACTTCGCACGGTAATAACTCCTCAACCTCAGAACAAATGCTACTTTAATAGTGGCTGTGCTTCAGAGCCTATAATTAGCCCCCTGTAAAAGGCAAGTTGCCACATTTCAGGTGCAAATTGTCTTTTGTGACTCCATCTCCCTCATAACCCAGCCTCCAGAAATCAGACAGAAGCAGCCCCATCAGGGAGGCTGGGGGTCAGCTTCCCCCTGGCCACGTCCCTGGCCCTCCACCCCCCTCACTCCGGTTTGGGGGTCAGATGGTTCAAGGCTCTTAGGAGTTGCTTTTACTAGTTCTGATTACAACACACAGAAGGTGCGCCTCATCTAGAGACAATGACATGGGGCCAGAATTCACCCCAAGAAAGGTGGAGCGGCACAGGTGCTCCTTCATAAAACCAGGCCCTATAGGAATTCCACCTACAGCTTGGAGCTAAGTGACCCACCATGAGAACGCCAAGCTCTGTGATCTCCACAGGCAAGCGGTCTCTCACACCGCTCCCTCCCACCCCTCTCCAGTCAGTAAAGCTGCAAGTGCTCACACACAGGCCGGCGGTGAGACACAGGTCCTTCCTGTGGAGTAAGCTTTACTCTGGAAGGAGTTGGTGATGCGGGAAATGCAAGCACTAAGAGAGCCTTCTACCCCCTCCCCCCTCCCCACTGACATCAAGCGGGTGCAGTCAGTCCCCGGAGGCAGGGAAGCAGGGCTGGGGAAGCAGGAGAGCAAGCAGCCACGTAGGAGCAGACCCCTCCCACTGACCTCCACAAGCTTCATGAGGGGCACTGGGTTGAAGAAGTGGAGCCCGGCAAACCGGTCTTGTCTGGTGGTGGCATTGGCTATGCTTGTGATTTGCAAAGAGGAAGTGTTGCTGGCAAAAATTGTATGTCTGTGGAGAGAAAGATAGTGGGAGATTAGAAGGAGTCATGGGTGCAAAGCTTCATCGTTTGCCTGCTTACGGCCCAGTTGTCCTGACCCTGAACTTTCTTTTCATACAAGAGCCTGAGATCAAATGACCAGGCTTCCATTGAAATGTTGACCTTTTAAATCAGGTAATTTAAAAGTTCCCTGTTCCCAGGGTATACTCAACCTTTACAAAAAACTCTTCGACTTTAGGGAGTAAAACACCCCGTCTGCTAGGGGCTCTATGGGTTAGGCACTGGACTGCTGAACTGCCAGGTGGTGGTTCAAACCCTGGAGAAACAGGAAGCAATGTGCTCCCATCCAGGTGTACAGCCACGAAACTTCCCTGTCCAGTCCCTGTGCATCAGAACTGACTCCCTGGGGGTGGGTTTGGTTTGGAAGCAGATAAGTCATCAAACGAGTTCACTGTTACAGTATATGTTGTTAGACTTAAATTTCTTTTATCCCTATCTAACTCCATTTTCCCCTTACAGCCATTTTAGTTCTCTTTCCACAGAGTTTTGCAGGTCAGAATGACTTGGCAAAATAATTGTGCACATAAGTTGTTAAACTGTTACCAGAGGAACAACGTCGGTGGCCGGAGAAGATTGGAAAAGGTTAAAGATCGGACCGGCTCTAAGAAGAGAATGTTATCTCTAGTAGATGGGGAATGAGTCGTAAAAGTAAGCCACTGTGACTCTGCAAACTGAGCTAGTTAATGTCAGCTAAAAAAAAGTTTTACAAGCCCACCTGGACCAAGATAAGCTGGGCAGGCTAAACTGCCCCCATCCTGTTATCTTGTGCAAACACCCTTCCCCATTCCTTACTCATACCCCCCTCTCACCTCACTGGTTTTAGCATCCTTGCGAAACTGCGTATATCCTGACAGATGTTTAAACAGATGGTCAATGTTTCATCTATCTGAGGATTTTTTCATGGCCTTGTTCCCATCCATGTAACCCCTTTAAAAACCCTGAGCTAAAGTTGTTCGAGGCTGCAGTCTTGATCCTGCGTGGTCAGGCTGTAGTCCGAGTTCGAACTTGTCTGTTTCTGTCTTTCTCTTTTACCTGTTAAATTTGCTCTTCTCTAACCTTTGTCTTTTCTCTAATAAACTTACTCTTTCTTAGCTTTTACAGGTTTGTGGTCAGTGGTTCTTGTTGGGCACGACTCCGTAACATTCACCAACCTCCATCAGAGACTAACGAAGGAAAAGATACGTCACAGACATCCAAAATAAAGCCTATAAGCAAACCCCTGATTAGCACGTAAGAACGAAAACCTCGTACCCCAAGTGGAAATCTGCACTTTTCCACGGAACAGGGATTGAAATGAAACAGAAGGAACATTGTTCAAAAAGGGAAATGTTGAGGGTACACAGGTAGTTTGGGGACAGGAATAATACATGTCTAATGTCTTCTGCTTACAAAATCTCCTTACTAGTTTTAAATTAAGAATTTGAATTTAAAAAGAACTTCCCAGGCTTCACACCAAATTTAAGACAACAGTAAAGAGGTCTTAAAGACCCATTGTGCTCATCTTTACACACAGGCTTTCCTATAGCGCCACCTTGTGTGTAAAAACCAGAAACCCACCTCATGCTAATTACCTTTAAACTTGCTGAGGCTCCAGCCTATCAGACAATGCCATCAGCTGCCTGAAACTAGTCAGAGAAAGACAAGGCTTTCTACTCCCATAAACAGTTAAAGTCCCAGAAGCGCACAGGGGCAGTTCTATTCTGCCTCTTGGGTCGGTACGAGTCAAAATTGATAGAAACCAGAAGACAACAGGAAAGGAAGAAGAAAGGAGTGTTTGGGGAAATGAAGGGGAGAATTTGGTGAGAGAAGCCCATTCAGCGTCAGTCAGCACTTCTGGTGCACTGCAACACCGACCTTTTTTTAACTAAGGTGACCAGATGTCCTGCTTTTGTTGGGACAGTCCCAATTTTTAACAATTTTTCCCGTGTCCCGCGGCATTTTTTAAAAGTCCCAATTTTTTGAAAGAATGCATAGCAAGCTAGGGAATATGGTTTTCGGCTGCCATGTGGCTATTTCGCCATGATATGAGTAGTTTTATCCATGACATCCAGCTTTACCAATGTTAAAATCTGGTCACCTTATTTTTAACAACACCTCCACCCTCACCCCCGCCCCAAAGGCCAACCCGGCTTTTCCACTTTAGAAAAATGATCCATTGTTAAGGTTTCTGATTTCTAGCTTTCAGATATTCCTGCTCTGGGGGTCACAGATAAAAACGACCCTCGTTACAGAAAGTAACCCTGAAGCTTCTCTGCTGGTAACACCAGTTAGGGCCACACAGCGGCTCCTCTGGTTCCACCCTCAGAACACAGAAAGCCCACAGCTGCAGCGACGGCTGGGACAAAGCCTGGCTTTCCACTCCGAAGAGTTCGTCTCAGAACTCACGGGGCAGTTCTCCCTTTCCTACATGGCAACTAGGAACCAGCATCAACTTGATGGCACCGAGTTTGACTTTGGTTTGGGGAAGGAAAGAAACTGTTAATGCCAAGATCAGTGTCTCATCTTCATGCGGCACCTCTGTCGACCACATCTGCAGGCACCTATCAGCCAAACACGGGCAGCCAGGGCGTGCGTGCGTGGGCCGGAAAGCGCTCTCTGCAAAACGATGACCTGGGTCCTCGGGTGTGGCCCACCGGCCCACTCGCCACTCCAGAGCACCGGCGCTCACCGAGTGCTCAGCAGTGCCTCCTGTTCAGAGCTTCTCCTCAGCCTCCTGTGCTTGCTTCTTGACAAGCCCCTTACCAATGCTCACTGCAGCCCTTTCCACAAGAACCTCGGGGGGAGGGGGCTTAGTGGGGAAGTCTATCTCACTAAAGCTGTTTAAAATCAATTTAGTCCTTCAAACACGGTGACCTTCTGAGAGTGCAGTGCAGCGGAGGGGCCTGCAGGCTAAGTGCTAGGTCACAATCCACAGCATGGCATTCACACGTCATCTCTTACGGGCTCAGTCCTGCATAGTGACGCGCACACCGGCAATGTGGTCTGCATTACGTGTTCTCCACAACCCTGTGTCATAGGTACCCACAGTCTATTTTACAGATCAGCTAGTCTCAGTGTTCCAGCAGGGAGGTCTTGGCACTCACTCGACCAGACCCCTCCGCTAGACGGCAGATGAAGCTCAGCAACAGGAAGGTGGGGCAGACACCACGATGTGTCCAAAGTCTGAGAGTGAAGGGGTGGCCTGGGACCCCAAGCCTCCTGCCCTTCATCTTCCGTCCCTCACACTGACCCAAGAAGGGCGTCGAGCCTATGGCTGGCTACAAGGGAGTAACCAGTGTCTGCAGAGGCCACGCTGCTTTGAGAAACACCCTTTCCGGCGGTGGCTGCCTCGGAATCTGAGGGCTCCTAGACGACAGGGGAGCCGACCTCTTGATCAAGCGTGTCTTCCGTTCTGGGTGGAAGTCTCTC